GTACTGGGACGGGCGCCCGCAGGCGGCCGCCGCTGCACCGTGCTGCATGTGGCGCACTGGCGGCCGCACGCCTGCATGCATCAGGAGGGAATGCTGAGCGTGGAGGGGCACACTCGCGCGCACGCACACACACACACACACACACACACACACACACACACACACACACACACACACACACTGCATCAGCTGGACGCGCTCTGTGTGGGTCGTACATTCACACTTTGCACACACACATACACACACACACACACACACACACATACACACACACACACATGCACACATACACACACACTCCGTTCCAGGGACGTCCCCATCATGATTGACGAGCACTACAACGCCAAGGCCCTGGAGGACATCGTCATCATCGCAGAGAACGCAGCCAACCAGGTGGGGCGGCCGCACACATGGCAATCAACAGCGCACACAGGCACTGGAGGACTGCACCTATCCCGCCACCTCCTCCTCGCTCCCTCACGCATCAGCCCGTCTGCCCCCCGCCTGCGACGCCGCCTGTCACGCATGCCTCCAGGCTTCTCGCCTTGCTACCGCCCCGTCCTCCGAAACCACCTTGCTCGCCGGCCGCGCGCGCAGGACGAGCACCCCACGGGCTTCATGTGCGACGGCGCCCTCCTGTCGCGTCCGCTGTCGCCCATGCGCCACGCGCTGGCCGCCACGCTGCAGCACCTGGGCGGGGTCCTGCCCCCCCACCTGGGCTACCACCCACAGTGAGCAAACACACTCGCCCCGCTCCCCCCGCCCCCGCTTGTCGCTGTGCTTCTGTTGACCGTTCGGGCGGTCAGCCTATGCATGTCCCAGCTCCTTGCGCCTGCCATGCGCACACAGAAGATCTGCGCCCACGCGAGGCCAGCGCACCCACAGAGCCAGGCAGAGCGCAGCACCTGCAGCACGTTCCCCGCGCTCAGCTCGGCTCTGGCCTGCACCTCGCCATTCAGCCGCGTTCTGGCGAGTGTGAATCCAATACCGCAATGTATGTTCTCCCGGTGCCACCCCAGGCGCAACGTGATCACGCACGACTGGCTGTGGAGCGTGGGGGCCCACCCCCTCAGCTGGACGTCCAGCGGCACCGCCTACAGCCAGCTGCACATAGACGCGCTGCACAGGTGCGCGCCCGGGGCGGCGGCGCGGGCGTGCGGGGGGCGAAGATGGCGCGGCTGTGGTTCGGGGCGAGCTGCGGCCCTGGGAAGCGTGTGGTAATGCGAGGCCCCAGGTTTATGAGCCAGCGCGCTTGTGCATGGAAGTGTGTGGGGGGTGGTGGGAGGGCAGGCCAGCTCCCAAAGTATCCATCATCACTACAGGGCATGCTCGACTGCACACCCACAGATACAACCATTTGAGCATCAACCTCGGACTTCCGGCACCCTCGCGCCCAGCCATCACGCCCACGCCTCCCCGAGCTCTGCCTCTCCGCCAGCCGCACACGCGCCACTCCCCTCACAACCACTCCCCTCACAACCACAAGCACCGACGCCACAACCCGAAGCGCCCGACCCTCACCCTCACCCTCGCCCCCTAAACCCCCACCCTCACAACCCACCTCACACGCGTACGGCTCCACACTCGCCAACCACCGCCGCGCTGCGTCACCAACCCCCGCAGGAGCTACATCCTCGACGCGTTGGACCGCAGCGTCGAGACGGTCAACACAGGGATCGCGCTGCTGGCGGACGAGAAGCCTGACGAGCAGTCGCACGGCCGCGTCCTGGCGCACCAGGCGCCGCTGCGGCAGGCGCTGCAGATATACGCGCAGGTGGGGGACGGGCGTGCGCGCGCATGGTAAGATGCTGTGCTGACGTCACCGGGCGGCTCGCAGGGCATGCAAAAGCTGACGGTGGGTCTGGGGGTTTGGACTGCTGCAGGGTTGGTGGTTACCGCCGCCCCCTACACACAAAATCACATGCGTGTGTACAATCCCGCGCACACACACACACACACACACACACACACACACACACACACACGCATACTACAACACCCACATCCTCCTTCCACGCTGTCTCCAGACCGTGAACATGTGGCGCACCTGCGTGGCCCACGCGGCCGCCCTGGAGTACGGCCCCGCCTCCGAGATGATCTTCGGGATGGAGCGCCTGGCAGAGGCGTTCGTGCGGTCATGCGAGGAGGTGAGGCGGGGCTCCTCGCGTGACAGGGCACAAGGACGCGTTGGGGGAGCATTGTGTGAGTGCAATGTGTATGCATGCATGCAAGCAAGTCGAACAGATTGTCTGTGCGTGTGTTTGTAAGACAGAGATTTTGTGTGGGGTGGGGGGGGTGTGGGTGCGCGCCGTACACTGAACCTGCAAACGGGCGAGCTTTGGCCCGCCCCGGCTCCACAAACATACGCCCCCTAGCTCCTGGCCCCACCGCACCCCATCATCTCCCCTCTCCGTCCCTCCCCTCCCCCTCCATCCCACACCAGGTGGACGCGATCCTGCACCCAAAGCGCTGCGCGCAGCGCGCGCCCATCGCCCCCGCCCTGCTGCGGTGGATGACCCTGGGCAGCGCGGCGGCCGTGGCGCTCGTGGCGCTGCTGACCTGCGGCACGGCCCGCAAGAAGGTCAAGAAGGGGGACTGACAAAGGCATGACGTGGCGCGGCGCGGGGCCTGCTTGCATGCGAATGGGTCGCGTTTTGTGTGTTGTCTCTCTGAATTCGCATGGGAGCCTTTTCACATCCTGGTCATGACCTGAATTTCAAATGCGTTACTGTGTAGATAGGAACCCAGAGACTGCAATTTTTTCCCTTTCTGTGGCTGCTCTACCGCGCCCGTTGGCGACCGTTGGAAAGAGTGCCCGCCTGCGGCCGCGTGTGTCCATTCAGCTGCCTGCTCCTGCAGCAGCCCGTGCCCTGGTGCCCTGCATCAATGCAACGTGCCTGCTATCCCGCGCCCGGCCCTGTCGTGTTGTTTGCCGGAGGCAAGCAGTGTCTGTCGGTCACATCCGCCGTTCAAGGCAGGGCGCGGCGCCCTGAGATTTCTCAAGTGCAACGGGCTTACAATGACCATCATCAGCAACGACAGGCCGCTTTGACGCTGCGTTGGCGCTCGCACAGCTGCTCTTGCCACAGAGTGCGCGCAGGTGCCCAACATCGGCGCGATCTTCAGGCAAGATCAACGCTGATTAGGACGCGCTGCTTCACTGCCTGCAGCGCCATGCACATGCATGGCCTTGTCATCAAAAACACCTTGGGAATTTCAGGTGCCTCGATCCAAACGCGGCCAGCACTCACGCAGCAACAAGTGGGCTCAACCCCAGAACTAGCTTCTACATCCGCGCTGCATGCTCAGCCCTCAGCAGCCCCTGCAGTGGTCCCTCCAGACGCCCTTCCACAGCAGGAAGTGGCAGAGCTTCGGGTGGAGGCACTCGCCCCCACTCCCCCCGTGGAAGCCCCCAGCCCCACCATGATGGTGACCCCCACCGCCGCCGCCACCACCACCCCTGGGCGGCGGGGGGGCTGCGTAGTCGTAACTGCCACCATCATCAGAGTAGTCATAACTGCCACCGCCGCCGCCGCCGCCGCTGCCACCACCACCATTGCCACCGCCCCCACCATTACCGCCACCACCACCGCCACTGTAGCCGTAGTCATCGTATCCAGAGCCACCACCCCCGCCCCCAGCGCCACCACCACCACCACTCTGCTCCATTGGGGGAGGGGGTTGATGAAAGGGTTGAGCGAGGTGCGTGTGGCGGAGCCCGGGTCGGGACACTGGTGGGTGGCAACTGCACTGTTTTAAACTGTTCTGCCTGGCTGTGGCGCTGTCAACGCCTGCGTCGACAGGCAGGCCTGACCCTTTCCTGCCACATGGCAGCTGGCGTGCACAGCAGCCATCCCGGCAAGGAGCAGCACTCCATGCACTTCGCAGCACATTCGCTCCCCCGCGCTGGTGTGCGCTTCTGTGTGTGGGGAGCAGGTGCGGGCACACCATTTGGTAGCTGGCGCCGCCGCCGCCGCCGCCGTGGCCACCGTGGCTCTTGCCGATCTGAACGGATTTGGCAAAGTAGACGCCGTCCGCGCTCTTGTCCGCAGTGACTTGGACCTGCACGTTTCTTAGCTGACGGCCTGGGGTAAGTGTAGGGGCAGGCAGTTTTGTGAGAGGGCAGGGATGGGAAGGCAGCGGTTTCCAATGGGCTCGGCGTGCATTTGGGGTTTCTGGGTTGTTGGACCACGAGAGGAGAGGGTTTGTCAGGGGACGGTGGGGGGATTGAGGGTGCCGGCCTTGCAGTGGCAGGCGAGGAGTGGCACGGGGCAGTGCTGCTCGCTGGCAAATGGGAGGTCGGCCGGGGGTCTACGCGTGCGCTACGGCGTCAATGTCCGAGGTTGAGGCCGCAGACGCGCCGCCGAATTCCAGGGGCGCCATGCACCCCAAGCCATGCAATTTTCTGCTGCATGGAGACCCACAAGCTCAGAGGACCCACCTGGCGTTGCGTCCGCAAGGCAGTGGGGCGCCACGAGGCCGACGACGACGCTCGCAAGTGCCATGAGGGGCATCATCGCGCGAGGCTGCTTGGCCGCCATGTTGCCTGCAGTCCTTTCGAGCTGCAGATCGACGTCAAATGGTATTTTTACTTGTGAAAAACAAATACCGCAGCTGAGCAGGTGCGTGAGGCGTTGAATTTGCGACGAGGCGAAGATCGAGTCGACGACAGAGGGTACTTCTGCGTGTGGAAGATGTTCATATAGCCTGGGTAGGTCATTCATATCACCTACAACAACGACCTTTGCTACAAAGGCGAGTCAGCAGGCATGTCACACTCCTCAAGTTGTGAGTTGGTCAGCTCACCAACCTGCGCTCCATTGGCGAGTGCGGGACGAACTGACATACAACTGTTGAAGGCCGTGCACACGCTGCATCACGCATCCGTGATCAGTTGGGAAATGGCTTGCACAGAGCTTTTGCATGCCTGGGGGACCTGGATGCCGTCATCTGCGCCTGCTGTGCAGAGCTCCGCTCTGTCTGTAGGCCCGTGTATGTGCTGCCGCTGCAAGTGTGAGCTCCTGCAGCCGTCCAGCCTGCGTTGCATCGAAACAGAGAGTAGCCAAAAGAACAACTTAGGGAGTTTTTTCTTGACCAAGCTCCCTAGGCCCCCCCCCTCAGGCGCCTAAACATACAGATGTTTTTCCAGCCTGCGCCTGCTGTTGCAGACCTTAGAGGCGCCTGTGCAGTTGCTGGCAAGAGAGTTGTGCCTGCGCTGCAGGCTGGCCTCCGCACTGCTTGTCTCACCGCGTAAGCACAGGTGAGTCAGGTGACGACCTGCAGCCTTGTCACTTCGTCGACGGCTGGAGAACCTCGCACGCAGGACCTGTTATGTGAGATTGTGATCTTTTGGATCCAATAACTGTAGAATGCCTTTTAAAGAAGAGATCTGGCGCGGAAAATTTTCCATTTAGCGCTCCGCGGCCTAGATAGGCAGCGAGGGGAGGCAGAGATGAGCGTTAGGTTCAGTGCTTATCATGGCACTCGCTATCAGTCGTGGGTCGGAAAAGGTGAGGCTGCCGCGCGCCGGCTCAGCCGCTGCGACGTGTGGCGGGGTCGCAGCACGGAGTAGTATTGTGCTGCACCCCCCCCCCTCAACACCTGACACTGCAGCGGGTTGCCCCACAGCATAGGATCATCACAGTCAGTTGGACACCCCGGACATCGCATCATAACATTTTGTGCAGTCGGCCCAGCACAGGGCATTCTTAACCGTCGCCCCAACACGCCATCGCTCCCCTGCCTCCACCGCATCCTCGCTGCTGGCAAGCAGCGTGGTACTTTTTCTACTTTGCGGCAGGCGTGTGCCTGCTGCCGTACATCAACGTCATCACATACCGCGCCAACGGCATGACAGACCAGCAGATTGGCATCCTGGCTTCCCTCAAGGTATGCTGCCGGCTACAGGCCAAAGCCCACGCCGCAGCACGTCAGCGCACAACAACACCCTCGAACGCCATTGCTGCATTCCTGAGTCATCACAAATATGCCAGCAGCCGGCTGCGCCTGAGACGCGCGACCATCTTCTGCGCAGCGGCATGCGCGCGCCTGCCCGGCTGCCGCCCGTTCTGCTGCAGCTCCCCTCGGCCCCCATCTAACCCCCACCCCCCAACACACACACCCTGCCGCGGGCCGCAGCCCTGGGTGTCTGCCCCGGCCTCCTTCGCCTGGAGCGCCCTGGCCGACGCCAAGCGTGCCCACAGGTGCGCGCTGGCCCCCCCCCTAATCCCAGCCACGTGCCAAGCGCGGGCCACTCGCCAGACGTGCGGCAGCCAGGCGCGCCTTGAGCCTTGCAGCGAATCACGAGCGCCGAGGCGCGCTTTGCGCAACGTCGATACTGTCAATCTTCGATGCCTCAACTTAAGATCTATGGACATCGAATCCAGGCAACGCGTGGCCGTGATGCGTAGCATCCCCCTCCGCTCCCCCCCCCTCTCCCACCC